CCCGACGGGAACCGACGGCGCCGGCGATCCCTCCGCGCGCTCCCGCGCGGCCCGCTCCGGCCCCGCGGCGTCAGCGTCCGCCTGCCCGCCAGTCTGTCCTGGACAGACCAGAGAATCGGCGGGGCCCGGGTGGGGCGGGGCGGGGGCGGGGCCACAAGGGCACCGCCCCCTCCCACTGCGTCGGCTCCCCCTGGCGGCCGGGGCGGCGACTGCAGCCAGAGTGGGGATTGGGGCGGGGGCATCCGTGAACACCCCGCACTTTGCTGGGGGGGCTCAGCTGGACAAACCCGGGGTGAGGAGAGGGCGCTTGGGACCAGGGCGTCTATTGTGGGTGCAGCTGAAGGGACTGCTTGTAGAGGCTCTGCTGAAGAGCAGTCCGCTAAGGTTCTCAGGCGCGGGGGTGGGGGGGTACCACTGGAAGACCAGACTTGGGGGGGCCATAGAGTCCTGCCCCCCACCTCACTCCTGCAGCACTTAACAGAGTGCAGGAGAAACCACTCACCCCGTTCTCTGCCCTCACTTCACCTCACGCCCTCCTGCAGCAGCGTGGTTCCCCTCCCTGGGAGCACTTAGCTAATGGGCCGCCAGCCCACAGGCGCCCCTCCTCCTTACCTAGCCCGGGGAGACCTCCTTGGAAGACCCAAGCTTTCTGGCCTGTCAGAGAGAGCCTAGGAACAGCCCATTCTTGTGCTGCAGACCCCCATGACCCAGGGGGTATCTCGACTAAAAACTGCGAAGGGGGACAGCTAGCCATTTGCCCAGAGGGGTCAGAAGCCTCAGAGGTATCCGGGAGCAGGGGGTAGAGGAGGAGCTCGGCAATGCCAGGCCCACAGCAGGTGCCCTGAAATCTGTGTTCCAGGGATGGGAGGGGGAAGGCGCGTGGGCACTGGGAGGGATGGGGGCTACAGCCCCTCCCGCAGGGCTTGGCTGGGGGGGGTCCTGCCTGGGGGCCCCTGTGGGAGCCCCTCCAATACAGAGGCAGTGGCAGAAGCAAGTTTAAAGTAGAACTCATCCAGAGGGGCCAGCCAAGTCACCTAGAAACCCAGAAAGAGACGGAGCTGGTTCTGGGGGAGGAGGGTTCAGTCAAGGAGGAGTGTGCCCTGCAGGCCTGTTCGCCCCAGGCCCTCAGACCCCCAGGGGAGCCCTGCCTGGAACTGGCTCTCCTCAGAACACCCACCGTGCGGGACACCAGCTCTAACCTAAGGAATCTCCTTGTCTTTGGCCAAGGCCCTCTGGGGTGTGACTGCTCTCCACTCGAGGCCCAGGGAGGGGAAGGGACTTGCCCAAGGTCACACAGCTCTATAGGAGGTTTTCAGCTCTTTGACATGAAGGCCAACCTGGGATCCCTCTGCTCCTTGCCCTTGGGGAGAAAAAGAAAGGGGAACAGGACTTGTCCCTCTCATCTCTCAGCAGAGCAGCAGAGCTGTACCCCTCAGAGACCCATGGACCACCATGTCTGTTGGGCACAGCCACACATGCGGGGTAGAGACTGGCCTCTGCTCCCATGGGACCTAGTCTCTCTGTGCCTCAGTTGCCTTGTCCAGAACCTGGAGGTCGTTGGAGGATGAAATTAGCAAATGGGTACCCCATGACCCCTTACTGCAGGAAGCTAGACAACTAAGGAGTGGCTTGGAGGCTGTGGGGGCATCGGAGAGGAAGAGGGAAAGGGCGTGGATCAGCTCTGGGGCAGGGCGCCTACCAGCCTGCGCCAGGAGGGTTAGCAGCGCCTGGAGACGGGGCCTGAGGCCTGGGACAGGTGTGTTTCACAGAAGCACTGGGCTGCAGCTCCTTCATGAAACAAGATGGGAGACTTTCCTGGGCCTGAGCCTCTCCCTCCACCCTGTGTCTCCTGAGGCCAGGGCTGCCCCCATTAAAGGGCTCCTTCCTCCTCGGACACTTTCTTCCAGGCTTGGTAATGATAATAGGGTTTCTCGGCAAGCAGTAATGGTGGAAGGAGGGCTGCCTTTCCGGCCTCTAGCCTCGATTAAGAGGGCGGTCACTGCCCACGGGAACTTCCCTAGGGCCTCCGCTTCAAGGAGGCGCCGAAAGCAGCCTTAGCTGCACTCTGGTGGAGGGGCACCGGGACCCCGGAAAGGGTGCGGCTGGGGAGGCCATAACCTGAGGCTGGAAGGACGAGGAGCACGCTCCAGTCCCAGGGGGTTTAGGCAGGAAGGCAAAGGCTGGGATGTGGGCACGGGGCGCTGAGTGCTCGGCCCCCAACCACAGGAGGTCAGTGGAAAGAGCCCCCTTGAAGAGGCTCAGGGTAAGTAAGTGACTTGCCTATGGCCTCGCACCCTACCAGGCAGAGCCAGGGTGTGAACACAGCACTTGCACTTTGAGGTTCTGTGCAAAGCAGCCCAGCCTCCAAGAGGGCTACAAGCCAGCATGGCCATCTGCTCTAACTCTTCTCAGGGTAGGTGGCCATGGGAAGGGACTGGATGGACAGGGGAGTCGGCCCCAGGAATCTGGGAGTGCCCTAGGGGCGTGCGGGAGGCAGAGAGAGGGAGAGACAAGAAAAGGGAGAGGGAGAGACAAGCAGGGGGAGTTGGCTCCTCTCTGTCCTGCCCAGAGAACCCATAGCAGGGAGAACCCCCCCCCCCCCCATGAAATGTGGACATGAAAGCAGGACTTCACACCTGCCCTGAAGGGAGGGGGGACAGGAAGTTCAGTACTCTGGGTCACAGCATCTACGGGGCAGAACCGGGGCTGGTACCTGGGACTTCAAGGCCTCTAGGCCCCACGCCCACAACAAGCTACAGTATATCCCCACTCTTAACCATGCAGACCTGCAAGGCCCTAATCAATGCTCCCTTCAGAAAGAGCAGACCAGCAGACCAGCTGTGATTGGGTGAGATAGGGTGTGTTGGGGAATTTGGGCTAGGATAAATTGCTCTTCTCAACTGACAAACTTAGAGTTGGAGGCCAGGAGGCCAGGTCAGGAATGGGGCTCTTGGTGGAAAGGGTGGGTCTTGCTGAATCTATAAGAGCAAGGGTCAGCCCTTCCCTGTTTCCCACCCCACTGCCCCCTAGTTTAGCTGAAGGGAGAGTAAGGCCAGAAGGAAGGTTGAGGAGGAAGGAGGCATCAGCTCACTCTATCTGCCCCAGGCTGAGCTCAGTGAGCCAGCCCCCCGCCGGGTGAGCCAGGGCCCTTGGAGAGAAGCCCATTTCAACCCCCCTCCGCATCTCCCCCTATCCTCAGCCTCTGCCTTCTCATCTCTCCTTCCCAACTACAGGGTAAGCCTAAAGTTCTGGGTTTGAGTTTGGCTACAGCATCAGCTGTGTGATGCTGGGCCAGTCTCAACCTCTCTCTGAACCACTCCTGCTACAAGAGGGTATCTCAGGCATCCAGAGAGAGGGCATCTGTGCGGGGTGAGGCCAGAAACACTTACTGCCTCTCGGACCCTGATATTCTGCATGAAATTGAGGAGAGTGAGACTGCTATCCATGGGAGCATCCTAGAGGAGCTGTGCAATGGTATTTGGGGGTATCTCAGGGGAAGTCAGGGAATGAGTAGAGACTTTGTGGGAGGAGCCTGGGTTCGCAAGCTGAGCTGCATCACTGTCTTTCTGCGGACTTAACCTCTGTGGTGCAGTCATTGAACCTTTCATACATTTTCCTCTTTAATCTTCACCACAACCTCAAGAGGAAACAGAGGCACAAAAGAAGCCACTGATTTTTTTCATTCAGTCATTTGTTTAACCACTAGTTATGGAGCACCTACTATGAGTCTGACACAGATGCTGAGAGCTCAGTAAGAATCAGGTAATTTGCTAGATGCATGTGGGTTTGTAGCTGAGCACACCCACTCAACCACGAACCCCAGCAGTACACAAGAGGCGGGCAGGTCTCAGCCCCATGGAGTTCACTGTTTAGAAGGGGGAGACAGACAATGAACAAATAAATGAGAGATACTATTTAATAATACAGAAAAGCAAACGGGGGAGGGAGGCGGGAATGAGATGCGCAGTCTGCTTAAAGAGGTGCGCAAGGTAAGGCACCTGTGAGATCTAAGGGACTGAAGCCTCACCGCCACGATCTGCGGGACAGCGAGTGAGGTGCCCTCATGCTGGAACCCACTGTGTGGCACCTACTCCAGGAACGCTTATTATGGGTCAGTTGTTATTACTAACTTTATTGTCATGATTACCATCTCCCCCACTTCCCAGCTCTTCATGCCTGAGTTTCCTCTTTTGTACACATGTCACGGGGAGCGGAGAGGCCCTTTTGAAGGCCAGCTCTACGAGAGGGCCCCAAGCAAGTTGTGTGCTTCCCAGCCCCTGCTCCGCGCGGCTGGGGAGGGACCGCCACGCGGGGACCGGACCCCAATGGACTACATTTCCCATAATTCCGTTCACTGCCGCCATCTTGGCCGGTGGGCCGTGGCTGCCTAGGGTCTGGCCCTTCCGACCGCCGGGTCGGTTCTGCTCACCCTCAACCCAGGCCACCACCATGGGGGGCGCGAGACCCCCCCAAGTAGGGCGTTCGGGGACCTGGGCAGCTCCTATCCGCCTTCTCCACTCTTCCACCTTTAGGACCCCGGTCCACGTGTCGGTCCGCGCGGAGAAGCCTGCTCACTCCTCGCTGGCCAAGGGCTGCAGGACCCAGACTCCGGGGGCTCCCACATCTCCTCGCCGGACATCCGCCCTGCACACAGTACCCACTCCCCTCCCTTTTCAGATGGCCCCTGTTTTCGCTTCAATGAGGACAGAATACTAGGGTCCCAACGGGAGTGCAAATCCTGGTATCCGGCGCTTAGAACATCTGAGTTTGGAGCTGGAAAATAAGTAGGGGTAGTGGACAGCCAGACCCAAACCCCTGACAAGTAGACACTCCCCTAGCCCCTGCCGAGGGGCGGGGTGGGGGTGAGGGGACTGCAGCAGGACTGGCTCTTTAAGGGGGTGTGGTCGGGGGGCGGGGGAAGTGAGCGAGACAGAGAAAGCTGCTTCGGCGGCGGCGGCGGCGGCGGCGGCGGCGGCGGCTCGGGCGGCGGCCGCGGGGGACAAAGGGCGGGCAGATCAGCGGGGAGGGGGCGGGGCGCGGCCAAGCCAGGCCCGGGGGCTCCGCATGCTGCAGCTGCCCCCGGGCGCCCCCGCTGCCGCCCTCGCTGCAGAGCCGCGCAGAACCGACCCCACCAGCTAACCCGAGCCAGCGGCCCGCAGCCGGCGGGCGTCCAGGAGGCGGCGGCGCAGGGAGGGGCCGGACGCGCGCACGTGGCCCCGGCGGCCGCCATGGCGGACAGCGGCCCCGCGGGGGGCGCGGCGTTGGCTGCCCCAGCCCCGGGACCGGGCAGTGGCGGCCCAGGGCCCCGCGTCTACTTTCAGAGCCCCCCTGGGGCTGCAGGCGAGGGCCCGGGCAGCGCGGACGACGAGGGCCCAGTGAGGCGCCAAGGGAAGGTCACGGTCAAGTACGATCGCAAGGAGTTACGGAAGCGCCTCAACCTGGAGGAGTGGATCCTGGAGCAGCTCACTCGCCTCTACGACTGCCAGGTGTGTCCCCCACCCCGCGCCGACACTCTAAAGTCGGTCCCGAGTCGGGCCGCCTGGGAACCCCACTCTGAGCCCGCCTGTCACCCGCAGTCTATAGGCACATCGCTTCCCCGCGCTCCCCTCCTGTCTATTCCCTGCCCCCATTGTACGCTTTTCTTTTTTTGTCTGATTTCAGTCACTCCAATCTTCTTCCCTGCCTCCTCATACCACTACCCTGGTCAAGCTTGGGGTAGTCTGGGCCTTGGGCAGGAGGCATGGGGATAGCCTGGGCTGCCAGTGGAAGGAGGTCTATTTAGTGCCTGCTAGCGTGGATGGTGGGGGGACCGTCACCGTCTGGGTTATTCTAATGGGCTGGCCTGTAGCTCCATCTTGGCGCAGGGTAGGATAGCCTGATCTCTGGGTACTGGTTCTCCACCCTATGACTCCTTTGCTCAAAGGGTGACTCAGACCCCTGAGGGTAGGGCGGAGGAGTGGGCTTGCCCCGTGCTGCCTACCGTAGCCCAGCCCTGGAATGCAGTTGGCTCCAGACTGGATAGATATTTCCTCGGGGGGAGGGGTGTCAGGCACCCCTCCCTCAGCAAAGCATGTGCTCTTTGTTTCCCCTTTACCAGACCTGGGTCCTTCTCACTGACCTCTCACCCTTCACTTCCTCTTCACTCCTGGGAAGCTGTGACAGGTGTTCGGGGGGAGGGGAAAAGGCTGTGATAAGTTGGGACAGCTGGCCCCATCTGCTCTGGTTGAAACAGAGGATCCAGAAAGTTAGGGAGACACATCTGCAGGGTCCCCAGACCTAGCTAACTGGCCCTGTCTGGCACCCCGGGTGCCCAACTGGCAGAGACAGGAAGCTCCCCCCACCCAGCTGGGCAGTTTGCCTTGGCACTGGCCTGATCCGTTTTCTTCCCTGGAGCAGCTGCTCCTGTCTGCTGGGCAAAGAGGGCTGGCCCATCCTGCAGTGGGGCAGGGGCCTCAGCCAGTGAGCCCCTCTCATACCCTCTCTCCCAACTCAGGCCCTTGTCTCTCCCTCCTCCCCCACCCCCACCCCAGGAAGAGGAGATCCCAGAGCTGGAGATTGATGTGGATGAACTCCTGGACATGGAGAGTGATGATACTCGGGCTGCCAGGGTCAAGGTGAGAGAGCAGCTGGGGGTGTGAGGGGGTTGCAGTGTCAGGTCAGGGGAGCTGGAGCAAGAGGGCGTCCTGGCAGCAGTGCCAATTGGGGGAGCGAGACTCTGGAGCCAGGACTTCTTTGGTCCGAGTCAGCCAGCTTTGTGACACTAAGCCTCAGCTTCTGCCCCCATCAAATGGGGCTCATGCTACTTGCCTAGCTATGGCATTCCTTTGCCTCAGGGTGGCCCCAGTCCCTTGGAAGTGGGTATGGGTGAACTTTAGGCCCCTGTTCCTGACCACTCACAGTTCTACTTCCCCCACCATGTCCCACCAGGAGCTGCTGGTTGACTGTTACAAACCCACTGAGGTAAGTGGTTCCCCTGGATGGCAGGGGAGAGGAGCCTGGGCCCCTGTCATCTTGGGACCTGGTCTCCTGAACGTCCTCCCTCCTGTCCAGGCCTTCATCTCTGGCCTGCTGGACAAGATCCGGGGCATGCAGAAGCTGAGCACACCCCAGAAGAAGTAGGGTCCTCAGCACGGGTGAACGGTGGCTCCCACAGGACAATCGCTGCCCCCTGACCTCGTAGCAACAGCAATACCGAGGAGCCCTGCGGCCAGGCCTGGTGCCGTGAGCGGGGCTCCCCCGTGCCCCTCACTTCGGGGCATCTTCCCTGCCCCCCGTTTTCCATTTTTGGGGTTTTTTATTATTATTAAACTGATGGGACTTTTTGTGTTTTTATATTGACTCTGCGGCGCGGGCCCTTTAATAAAGCTGGGACATGCCTTTGGTGCAGCTAACAGGCTCAGTTGGTCTCTTTTAGGGGGGACACACTGCTCTACAACTGTTATCAACTCAGCTGCTCCCCAGGTGACCGCAGGCCTTCCTGAGGGCCACGTAGTCATGGTGATAGCCCAATGCTGGCTCCCAGACCAGGAGCTAGAAGTGGCTGGGGAGCTAGGGGGAGTGCTGTTGCTCGCAAGAACACTCTTTTTTCCCTTTGGGCAGGGGCTACGATGCCATCCAGGGCCTGGCCATCTTGACCTCCAGACCACTGAGCCTGGGTCCCAAGGCTCTGAAGCCAGAAAAGGGGTGCAGGATGCTGAGGGAGAGGGAGGGGAAGCTGGGGCTGTGGCTCTTGTCTCTCAGGGCCCACAAACAAACACAGGCTCGCTTCATGAGCTGTAAGGTTTTTTTTGTTTGTTGGTTTGTTTGTTTTTTTAAACAGTCTGGTCCCTGACGGGGGCCTCTCCACTGGCTGTCCCCGGCTTGGCTACAGTTCTGAACGTCGCTCAATTTTGAGCAGCTCCACCTCGAACACTAGGGTTGCACCACCTGCAGTAGAGAAGTGAGGTAGAATGAGAACCAGGGCCACAGGGAGATGGGAGGGTGCAACAGATAGGTGGGAAGGTATATTACCTGGAATCTTTGGGGGAGCTCCCCGCTCTCCGTACCCTGTCAAAGATGCACAGAAGAAAAATGAGCTGCGGCCAGGCAGAAGTTCTGCCCATCTCAGTGACAGCCAGAAATGAAGGTATAATGAGTAGGAGGACTGCAAAAGGGCTGGTAAAGGGCAGAGGGTGGACATCAGAGCCCAGTGCCCCGCGGGTCTTGCCCTGTCCTCACTGCTGGATACAGCTAAACTTGGAAGAGCCATGAATACAACGAATGGGTGGGGGGAGACCAGTGCAGAGGCTGAACCAGCCATCACCCTTCCTCACACCCACCCCATACCCTACACCTACTCAGGAAGGACCTCTTACCCAGCTCTGATGGGATCACCAGCTTCCGCTTTTCCCCCTCACACATCCTGCAGGACAACACATGTTCAGCACATGACAGCACTCAGGCTCCCTGCTCCCCACCCCACCCCTAGGGCTTGCCTCCCGCAGTTCACCTCCTGGACCATAGCCAGGGTCCCCTGACTCACCCCAGCAGCCCCTGGTCCCAGCCCTTGATGACCTGGCCTGTGCCCAGGGAGAAGACAAAGGGCTGGTTCTGGGGCAGGCTGCTGTCAAACTCCGTCCCATCTTCCAGCTTCCCCTGTGGGACCACGGGAAGGCCAGTGAGGAGGAGGATCCACTCTGATAGGCACCCCCAGCCCCAGCTACTCTCATCAAGCTGACCCCCCAACCGCATTGGTGGCCATAGTCCTAGAAGGGGACAGAGATTTAGGGAGCTCACACAGTACACTGTAACCCTTTGCCGGTGCCAACCTGGGGAGTAGACAGTGAAGAGCAGGGTAGAACGATGCAAACAGGCAGAAGGGAGAAGGAACTTGACCAAGGTCACCCACCTTGGCAAAGGAACCTGACTCCCAAGTCCTTTTTGGTCCCCAGAAGTCCCACTCACATCCAAAAGCTCTGCCTCCTCACCCACCGTGTAGTGCATGTGCAGGACGTCCCCCTTCCGCGATTTGATGGGACAGTGGTCTACCCGCTTCTTGACCCCGATCTGCAGTTTCCGTTTGCCCTCGGCCCCCGCAGCTGTGGCCAGGGCACTCAGGCAGATGGACAGTACTGTCAGGACCCAGCTGAGTCTCATGTCTCTGTGGGAAGAGACCCCGACCGACCAATCGACCGGAAGGGCAGGAAGGGCATGGAATACCTGCGGGTGGTGGAAGGATTCCACCCCACGGTACCTTGCCTTGCCCCTGGGGATCCCCTCGTTCCGGGTAACCGCCCCCTCCCCCGGACTCCGCGGCCACACTTACCAGTCCTGTGAGAAGGGGGCTTGCCCGAGGACCCCAGCAGCGCGGGGAGGGGGTCAGGGGAGGCCACAGCAGCCAGGGCCCCGCCCCTTTGTTCACCCTCAGCCCTTCCTTCCCTCCTGGTTCCCAGCTCCGTTCTTCAATTCCCACCCTTCCCTTTACGAAAAGTCCAGACCCTATCTGGCTGCACAGCAGTTGCCCGGACCGGGCGACACCACTCACGCCACACCCAGTTGCCCCCGGCCCAGCACACCCACACCTCTGCCGCTGCTGCAGGGGGCCGGCCCCGAGGCACCCACACATCGCCGCTGGGTGGCTCCGGTGAGCCCCGGTCCTCTGGGGACACCCCCCAGGCCGACCCTGTGCCTCCGCCCGAAGCGCCGCCCCAGCTCTGAGCCCTCGGGGGTCTGCGGGGCACCCAGACAGGTCCCGTGTCGGGTGGCCGCCGAGCCCGCTCCACCCACACCACCTCTCCCGGGGGAGTTCTTGGCCTACCACGCTCCCAGGCACGGCCACCACGGAGACCGCCCCCGCGTGGACGCCCTGGGCCATTACCTGGGCCTACCCCGGAGTTTGGTTCCTTGGCCCCACCCTTTAAAGGGCGTAGTTCCGCCCTGGGCCCTCGAGCCCCACCCTCGACAGAACTAGATCCCTTTTCCTGAACTGTAGCCAAGCCGCTCACCGACTGAAGCCCCGCCCCCAGCGCCTGGTCCTCGTCCCCTTCAGTTTCCAAACCCGAGGCTCCGCCTTCCGCCTGTTCCAGCTCCTCTTTCAAGGTCCAGGCCCCGCCCCTCGCCAGTCCTAGCTCCGCCCCCAGCCCCAGAGTCCCGCCTTCCACAGGTACCAGCTCAGAGGTCCCACCCGTCTCTGTTCCACGTCCCGCCCCGACTCCTGGGGCTCCGCCCCGTGCGGCGTGAGAACCCTGCCCCTGCGGCATCCCCAGACAGCTCCTACCCCCAACCTCGAGTTTCCTCGTAACCTAACCCTCCCTGACACTCGGAACCCCGGCCTGATCCAGCCTGCCCCCTTACCCCGGCTTCCCCCAGCCCGGGCTGTGGCCCCCGCTCACCTCCTCGCCGCGCCCCCGGAGTCAACTCTAGTCGTGCTGCCGCCCTTGCGCAGGCGCGTCATCCTCGCTACCAGGCCGGGCCACGCCGCCCACCCTCATTGGACCGTGCGAAACCCGCTGCCACACGCCGGCAGGGGCGGCTCTTTCCTAGGTCCGCCCCTCCGCACCACGTGACTCACACCACTTCCTGTGGCGCGGTACTCCGCAAGGTTAGGTGAAAATGACTTCCGAAAGGGCTGCAGGCACTTCCGGTTGAGGTGAAGTTAAGGTCAGGCGGGCGCAGGTTCCTGGAGGGGGTCTTGAGACGCCATTTTATGTCGCCCCTTCCAAGCCCGTCCACGGCACCCCTGGGTCTCCTCAGGGCCCACCACTCCCAGTTAGTTGCTGTGGAGAGAGCCTGGGTTTCAGAAGTGAGACTTGGGTTTGAACTCAGGATCTACCTCATTGACCGACTCTGTGACCTTGAGTAGGTTCCTTCGCCTGGCAGGGTGTGGCGTCCCCCGGAACGCGGACTTGACAACTCCCACCCTGCCGGGCCCCCGTCAGATCGCAGCAACTGTGTGCCCTGCGAGGCCCTGGCCCACAGATGACGCCCTCCTTTTTCTGTGCCCAGCATCCGGGCGTGCCTCTACATATCCGCTGACCACTGAGTCTGACTGTAATGGCGTGGCTGGGCCTGGTCCCCAACCACTGATTTTCTGGCGCCCAGTACCCAGCAAACATCGCGACTGAAGTAATGAACTTGCTGTTAGCACGCAGCTAAACCTAAGTTGAGTGTTAGGAAGACAGCTGATTTGAGGTCAAATCCCCAGGTCAGTCTATTGGTTCAAATGAAAAAGGAAGGTAGTCCCAGAGCTGACCTCAAAATTGAGGACTAAACAAGGAGGCACATGTGGAGCACGGCGCACGTCCTGTGAGACCAAGTGGACACCGGAGATGGTAGCTCTAGGTCCCTAACCCTCTTCTATCTCCGCCTAACTGGGCTCTATGGCACTTTCCCTGACAGCATGGCTATCACCTCATGAAAATACGACTCTCTCAGGAGTTCTCTCTTCTGGTTTACCCCACTTCTGCCTTGGGCCCAACAAGATCACTACGACACCCTCCAACCTAACACCATGAGGGTGGCCGCTCTGGATTAACCTCCGCCCTTGCATGTTCTTCGTCAGCAGGGCAAAGCCATTTGTACCTGGAGTTGGCCTTTGGACCACCCCTCACCACTCAGCCCCGGGCAGCACTGGAGGCTGCAGGCAGAAGGCTGGGCACTGAGCTTGGGTTGGGGCACCCAAGGTGGAAGGGAGGTGAAGGTGGAGAAAATGGGTTAGGATGATGGGGGGCTACTTCTGAAACCAAGCCCACCAGCCCCAGACCTTTGGCGCTTCCCTTTCAGGGAGGTGGGAGTGAGGTGGAGACAAGGCAGGTACATGGCTTAGAGTTAAGGTACAGGGAGCAAAAAGCAGTAAACACAGTGCTGCGTGGCAGGGAGGAGGGTGTTTTAAGATTCACTCAAACGTTCCTGGGGCCAAAGGACCAGGACCCCAGCGATCATCTGTTCCCTCCATGTGCACATGTTGAAACCTGAGGCTCAGACAGAGAGGGGCAGTGACACCCAAGGTCATTCAGCAGATCTGGTTCCCATCTGAAGCTCACCTCCCAGAAAGAAACCCTTGTAATAAACGGGGACAGGGAGTCCCTAAGGCCTGGCAGTAACAACGTGAAGGTGACGAATACACATTTGGGCTCTGTGACTTGGTGCGGGACCTTGGGCCTCATTTACTCCATCTGCACAGCGAAGAGTAAGCAGCTTTGGGTCTAGAAGGCAGTGTGACACATTCATGCCTGAACCAGCCAGCCTGGACAGTGACAAACAGTGACACAGGCAGGGACAGCTCCTTCCATCTCTTTTATCAGAATTGGGGGTCATAGTTCTCATACTGAAAGCCAACTCCCGTTATTTGCAGAGGACCACGGTCTTCTTAGTAAGGGCAGGGAGGGGCCAGTTTTAAGATGCTCTCTGCACAGAGTGGTTAAACACTTAGACAGGACCCCATTCTCTCCCACGTTGGTACGTAATCCCTCTTGCCTCCAAGTTTCCTCCAACTCTGCCCACTGTGTTGGATGGCAGCCTTGCAGAGACAAGGGACGACCAGAAAAACCTCTGAGAGGCTCAGGTCCTGGAGCAGCGTCCGCCTGGGCTGAGGTCTTGGAGGGCTGGGCTGTTCTCACCAGGCTGCTCTCTAGACCCCCTCTGGGGTATGGCCTGTGAGGCAAGTGGCCCCGCTGAGTCTGAAAAGCAATGTGTCACTTTCGCAGCTTCCGGCACCTAAGAAGGAGAGGAAGGAGAGTTCACACTGCCACATTCAGCATCTGTTCCTCTGGACTCACCCCCTTGTTACCTTCTGTGGGCCTCACTCTTTCCTAACACTCCTATGAAGCGCCAGCTGGCCTAGCCCACATGACGACGCGCGTGGCCTCACCATGGAAGGGACGGGTGGTGAGAAGCCCTCAGATAAGGGCGAACAAGGTTTACACTGTGTCTCCTGGCCTCTCAGAACCCATACAGTGGGACAAATAGCTAACACGGGCTTCTGGGAAGGCCCAGGCCTTTACAAGCTGGAGAGCTGTCCCTCTCATTTCTACTCCAGGCAAATGTCACCTCCTCCAGGGCATCTCCGACCTCTCAAAGACGATGCCAGGTGCCCCTTACCACAGGCCTCAACAGCCTTCGCTGGCGCCGTGTGTCCTTGTGTTAGACTTCTGCATTAGAATGTGAGCCTTATTTATGCTGATCCCAGCGCCAGCAGACACTGGGTAAATATTTGTTGAACACATTCAACAGCTCCCCCTTCCCTGGCTCTCACCCCACTGGCAGGTTCGCCCTGGATCTGCTCCAGGACAGGGCCTTGATGCCTTCCCAAACACCACCGCCCTACCGCTCCTCACCTGCAGGTGTCTGGGTTGAGCTCTAGGCCCCGCCCTTGGCAACGGAGGAAGCTGCGGCGTCTGCAGCGGCAGTGGCAGGTCCTGGGGTCAGGGCGCTGGTGGCGCTGGGTACAGCGTGGGCAGAGGGGCCTGGGGCTGGAGTGGGATGGGTGATGTCAGCTTGGGAGGGTGCTCCTGGGGCGGAATCCCAGCCCGGAACAGAGCGGGGCTGGGGACGGTGGTGGGGAGTGTCAGCCCTAGGAGGAGAAGCAACATGTCTGGGACGGGAAGAGCCTTCCCCGGAGGAAACCGGGGTCGGGTCAGAACACAGACTGGGGAGCAGAGAAAAGAGGAGCGGGGGACACAAGGGGAAGGGAAGAAGATGGAAGGGGACCACAGCTTCCTGACATACGTGCACAGCCCCTGCTCCACCCACATGTTATATCCTGGGCTCTGGGCCTGGGTTCTAACCCCACCTCAACTGGAGCCCAAGAGACTCACCTGTCTGGCTTCACAGCACTCTCTTTTTTTTTTGGTCTGAAAGAGAGACCGACAGAAACAAGGAGGAGGAGGATCAGGAAAGTCAAGCACCCTACTCTCTTGCCCAGACCCCCAGCCTAGCCCGGCTCCACTCTCGGAAACCTGGTCCCCACTGCAGTGCACCACCGTGCCCAGCACCCCCCAAGCCTGGTCTCTGCGAGCTCAGAAGTGGGGCCTGGCTGGCACCTGCATTCACACTGGCTGTGTTCTTCCAGGGACATTTCCCCCAGCTGACTGCTCGGATACCGGATCATGAGGATCTGTGCTCAGGAGAACAAGGAGAGAGACACAATGACAGAGGAAGAGAAAGAGGAGACACTCCACGGGCTGGAGGGAGAACAGCGCTCCCACGTGCCAAGGCTCTGGCTACCAGCCTGTCAGCCCCCAGAGCACCGGCATCCACCCCAGCCGGACACGCTACACCTGCCCTAGTACCTGCATTCGGACTTGGTGCTGCCCAGTAGGCACGCACTCCAGGCCATCGTCAGGGCAGCAGCCGCCACAGCGCTGCACAGTCACACAGCTGGGTACCAGTTGCTTGGCCATGGTGCCCACAAGCTCCAGAGTTAGGGGCACTACCACCTCCCGTGGCTGGCAGGTGGCACGAGCATACACATCTATCCATGACACCACTGGGGAGAGATGCACAAGGTTAAGCCCCCACTGGGTTTCCTGCAGCTGCTCCCTGGCTCCCCTACTCCTGTGCCCAGCAGCTGCCCCCCCTAGTTCCGGTGTCACAGCCACCCTCCACTAGTCCCCACTTCTGCCCTCGCAACCTGTTGATCCAGAACCCAAGAATCCCACTGCCTCAATTTCCAGTTCTATGAAATGGGCAGAATAAGAGTTTGCATCTTACAAAGCAGCTGTGATTGCACATGCTGGACACACAGCACACCTTCTTAGTGCTGGCTAGTGTGAAGCTGTTGTTAGTATTACCTTTCTTCTGGTGGCCAGAGGCCTCAGGCTGGGAGACAGGGGCCTGGAGGAGAGAAAAGACCTGGACTCAACGTGCATCCTAGTTAGGACTACACTGTCCCAGGGCGTCAACTCCTCTCTGACATTTTTCCAGATTGCTCTATTCCTGGGTCCACTTTAGCTTTACATGTCCTCTCCTGGACACCTGGGACCTGCCCCCGGCCACGGCAGAGCCCAATCTCCAAGCCTGGGACCAAGCTTGTTCCGGACCAACAGGGGGCACAGGGGGCACTGAACCAGGTCCTGCAGGTACCGAGACGGCGCCGCCCCCCACCCCCACCCCGCGGTGCCCAGGGGACAGGGTGGGGCGGGGGAGTGGCCCTGGGGCTGGGCTGGCAGGCCAGCGGGGAGGGACATCTCCCAGGGGATGCCCTGGTCCAACTCCCGCTACGCCCCTATCCGTGGCCCGACCCGCGAATACCCTCGGAGAGGCCGCTTCGCGCCTCCACTTCCGCCAACCTTGAGAGAGGGCACGGCCAGCGGGCAGGCAGGATGTCGGGACGCACGTACCTGGGCGGGGGCCAGCTGCAGAAGCGCCGCGAGCAGCAGACGGCGGAGCAGGGGGCTCATGGTGCCCACGGGGGCCGCGCGCCGGGGGCGCCCGCATAGTCCTAGCCGGGCGGCGCCGGGGGCGGCGGCAACCAGAGCCCCATGGCGCGGGCTGGGGCGCGGCGGGCTGGGGCCGGGTGCGGGGGGCGGCTCCTCCGCGGCCCTCTCCCAAGCCCTGGGCGCAGGCAGCGCAGCGCAGCGGCGGCCGCGGCGGCCGGAGGAGCCGAGTGGGTGGGTGGCCGATGGCAGCGGTGGCCGAGGTGGCGGGGATGGCGGGGGCAGCGGGGGGCCGGCCCGGGCTGGCTGGCGGGCGGCTCATGTGACCCAGACACGCGCTCCCCACCCGGGCCGCAGGGCAGGGGCGGGGCGGGGGCGGGTGGGGGCGAGGCCGCCGGCGGGCCCGCCCCCTCCATACACCCCCTCCCGCTGCAGCAGGGGAAAGGGGACGCACCACCCAGGGGGCCGGGCTCCTCACAACCTCCAGAACTCCGAGGGCGGGGCACTGTCCCTGGGCGAGGCCTGGGTGGGGGGTGCTGGGCCTAAAGGAGGGAATCGGACAAGAGCGCAGAGAATCATTTTATTGCACGCGTTTTGGGCTGTGGGGAGTCCCGAGAGAGAACACACAGGAGGCTCCATCTAGGTGAGAGGCTCAGGGGCTGGTGCTGGGGGGCATGATCCCCGGGTCTGGGGGAGGCCCAAGTGGTGGCTGCTGCTGCTGCTTCTGCTGTTGCTCCTGCTGGAGCCTGGCTCTGTTGGCCCTGCAGGAGAGAGCACGGCGGGGGTTGGAATAGGGATCCTAAAGGGTGGTGCCAGGGCAGTGGAGAGAGGGCAGGGGGAGAGCGGGGACAGACCTGGCGCGGGCCCGAGTGTCATTGTAGATGGCTGTGATGATCCGATCCTTTTCATCCATGAAGTTTCGGTGTATCTGCTCCAGCTTCCTGCACGGGGGTTACAGTTAACCCTGGGTCCCTCAAACCCTGCTGTCCCTCAAGTCCCACACACTCTGCACCCCACTCTAAGGCATCACAGCTTTATATCGGTGGGGGCCTCAGCCTAACTGCCTCTGCTAGGTGGGGAGAGGGGTGGAGAGTGGCCAGGCTTGTACATGGTCAAATGACAACCCAGGTCTCTGGCTGCTCTGCTAAAGGCAGTAAAGGCAGCAGTTGAACATCAGGATGGTCCTTGCAGGAGATGAGAAAGGGCTGTATGTCTAACTCTGCCACACGGAGTTGGGTGGGCTGCTAGCAGTGGCCCAGCCTTTCTGTACCTTTGCTGTAGAACCTGTGTCATGGCATGCACGAGAGAGGAGTGGGGGGACAGCTGACTGCCGAACAAGTGAACACAGTTGTCAGAGAGGACTGAGGTCCAGTCACAATGTATTTCTACTACCTGGCAGCCAGCACCAAAGATTTACATGCAAATTATAAAAAATGAAACAAACTGAAAATGACAGCGGTAGCCCTTAGTGCAGAACTGCCTTCGTTGGCTAAGTAAGAAGAGGCTCCAGAGACCTATTTCTTACAATCTTAGCTTGAGAGACATAAGAGTGCAGGTCACAGGGGTGGTGTGGATGTCTGGCCTACCCCACTGGCCTTCATCTCCCCCCTTCCCTCTGCCCACCACCCCCCGGGAAAGACCGAGATGCACCTGAAGGCAACATAGTGCAGGCCCATGCCTGCCAGCATGATCAGGAGGCAGTACCCCAGCACCTGCTTGTTGCGTCTGTGCTGCTGCTGCCTTGATTCTGGTCCCTGAGGCCTCACTCCAGGAAACTGGGCCCAATATTGTGCATTGGGGGGTTCCCAGGAGCTGCTGGGAGTGAGAAAAAGGGACAGTGTGGGGATGAGGCTCCCCAGGAGACTTGGAGGGGAAATGGTTAGCTGCAAGACACTGTACCTGTGCGCTCGATGAGCAGACCTGGCCCGGGCTGTGGTTCCTGGAGACTTTGGGGGAGCTGCTGAGCGGAGCTGGAAGTCATAGTTCCGGCGGCTTTCCTCCCGGCTGAGTACTCGATAGGCTTCACTCAGCTCCACAAAGCGGCTGTGCAGGGTTGGGTTCCCAGGGTCCCGGTCAGGGTGCAGCTGGGGTGGGGCAGGACTCTCCTCATCTCCCTTCCCATGCTCCTTCCCAGGATCCATCTTGATAATATCCACCCAATAAGGGCTCAACTCATCCCCACGGGACTTGTCTGGACAGTGACCTTAACCCTCAGGCCCTCAGGCTGTCCACCCCTCCAGAAGGCCAGAGAGTCAGGAAGCACTCCTACTCCCTCCCCGCCTGCTGCCTGGTCCAGATTTTCTCAGCAGCAGGTAGGTCCAGAAAAGCAATCCCAGCCCTAGGACAGGACCCCTGGCTTTTCTCACACCCTGCAGGGACCTCAGCCCTAGGGGCACCTCCCCTCCCTATGCTTGCTGAGGGAATGTGGCACCAGCCAGAGCCAGCCACTCAGCTCTGTTCCTGGGAACTTGGAGTGCACCCCATCTGGTTCAAACCTCCTCTCCCTCCTCCCTGCCTAGAACCACTGGTACCTCTTTGGACTTGGAGAAGAAAGCTCGTTTAACTTCTTCAGTGCTGGCACCAGGATGCACCCCCAACAGTTCATAGTAGTTACTGGGGCCAGACCTGTAGAGAGAAGCCAGAATTTGCAGGGACTAAAGAAACACAGATACCCCTTCCCTACCCCTCCCAGCCCCCCTGGACCACGCTTCAACTCAGCAACCAGAGGCTCAGAGGCAGGTACCAAGGGAGATCTATCTCCAAACCATCCCTCCTTTTTGAGTGTTTGAGGAATAGGGCAGGACCCAGGAATCTGCATTTTTGTAAAGCACTCCCTGGGTGGATTAGGATCGGCGACGCTCCTCAACCACAGGAGCTGTGGAAAGCACATTGGGTTTGACTTGGACCCAAACGTCATAACGCGCTGCATATAACCTTGGTGGTCGTCCCTTAATCTCTGATCCTCAGCAGAGAAGGTGAGGGCTACCTGAGGAAAGACTGTAAGGCACCTGACACAGAGATCACAACTATCTCAGCACCTTGGGCAGAGCCTAGAAGCTGGGCAGGCCCTCAACAAAAACCCACTGTAAAACCGGGCCGGCACCGGGCCCCCGGTGACCGACTCACCGCTGCCGGGCGGCCTCTGCGAAGAGCCGGGTGGGAGGGTTGCGGGGCCGCAGCCAACGTAGGCACAGCTGACACAGACACAGGGGCAGCATGGCGGCAGATGGACAGCTGGTGAAAAGAGGCCACAAAGAAGAGTGTATTGGGACCAGAACTCAAGCACTCCTGGAGCAGAGGGAAGGGGGCTGGCTCCATCTACTTGCGAAGGAAAACTGAAGCAGGCCCGGAGGACCCATGAGCAGGTGGGGCCTCCTTGCTCAAGACCAGACCCCGGCGTCCTGGACCTGTCCCAGCTCTGACCCGGGCCCTTTTCCACACTGGCCACGGTGTCTGTACAACCAGCGGAGAACCCCCCCAACCCGCCCCATCCAGGGAGCTTGAGGGGCGAACGAAGGAGGAGCTACACCGAGCCCCGCCCCCGCTGCACTCACAGACTCCGCGGCCGCCGCCATTTTCTGCGCCGACTTAGGCCCCACCCTCACGTTCTCATTGGCTTAGACACCCAGACACCCCCACCGACCCGGAAGGTGCGGTTAGGCCCTGCCCCTTTAGCCCATTGGCCTTTGACGTCTCGGGACGCCTCCGGATGCCGAGGGCGTTGCTGGGGCCGATAAGCTTGGCTGGGGCTAATAAGCGCGGGTTAGCGGGCGGCACCGTGCCTGGGACTCGGTGACGCTTTCGGCCCATCTGCTATCGCTCTGTCCCACGAATATGGCTGTCACTCCGCTTTGCAGTGAGATACTTTTAACGCAACAGTTTCCACCCCATAGTCGATCCGGACCCTCACCAGAGCCTGGCAAGAAGACGTGGCCCTCATTCCACTTTGCAGAGGGCAATACTAAGGCTGGGCTTTCTCCCGCCTCAAGTCTTTTGTCCTGCCTCTCTCACCAACCCCACACTCTCTAAGCGGCTCCCCTCTGTCTCATGGAAACAACATGTCAACGGAATCCAAGAATAAAGTCCTTTATTGTCTTCTGAGCTGTGCTGATAGGGCTGGGGACCCTAAGGTGACTCAGGTGGAACTTCCCTGGACCCGGTTGTAGAGGGAGATGGCGCCTTTGGCAGAGGGGCAGAGCTCGGCCCACATTTCAGTCTCCTGCAACCTCTTCACTCTCTGTGGGGAGACAGTGAGATCCAGACATGTTGCCCTCAAGATTTTTGCAGGAGCTGTGCCCAGAGTTCCTGAGACTCAGAGCCCTCTGCACTGGACAGTTGCTAAAGAGACATGTTAAAGAGGCTGAACAGGTCCCTGGCCCCTCCCTTGGGCTTTGGGCATCCCCAGTGAGGCCTTGTGGCTCTGGAGAAAACCTCTGAGTGATTTGGGAGCCCTTTCTGACCCCATCCACTGAGACGGACATGCATCACTGGGCCTCTGCAAGTCCCAACCCCAGCTTCTTGTCCAAGCAAGACTTTGCCACCTCATACCTTTGTCTCCACAAAGATAATATCTGTAGACTCGTGGGCCTCAGGTCCCCCTCTCCTGTAATGCTCCCTCACCTGCTCAGAAGCCAGGCTGCACCTGGACAAGGCATGAGAATGGACTGATAGGTGCCCAGCCCCTGGAGGTTCCCTGTGGAGCCCCAGCTGCCTCAGCCATGCCCCTCAATCACCCACCTATCCCAGGACCCAGACCCCTGTCCCCCAGGGCTCACTCACTGGACGTAGAACTCGGCACTGGCACGGCCTGCACTGGTCTCATTGCGCACGATGCCCAATAACAGCGGCTGGCTCAGGGTGGGCAGTGGCAAGTTCACCTGGGGCCGGGGTTCCCACCTGTCAGCGCTCACTGCCCACATCCCCGACCCTCTCAGTGGAGAACAGCACGTGCATTACCCTTGTACTACAGCATTTTACAGTTTGTAGCTCAAGTGCCCAGGATCACAGGATGTCGGATCTTGGGCATGTTTATTTTACCGATGGGAAAACCAGAACCAGAGATTGAATAATTTGCTCAGAGTCACTCAAGGAAAGTCGGTAAATCGACTTCCAGTTACCTCCCTTTTCAACAAATCTGGGAGGCGTAGGCGAGACATTTATCATTATTCACATTGTAAAGAGGGAGAACCTAAGTCACACAGAAATGAAGGGTAGAATTCCACTCCAGTGTGCCCAGTTGCAAAGCCAAGTCCTTCCCTCAATGCCACATGCCTGCAGACCCTCCCACCAGCCCAGACTGAGGTTGTGGAATTCTGGCACGTTCTCTTCCATGACCTCCCTCCCAGCCCACCACCCCGTCCTGGCCACCCCTTACTCACCTCATCAGAGATCTCCTGGAGGACCCTGGAGAAGATCTCATGCACCACCCGCTCCCCAGGGAGGTCATCGTGCAGAAGGCTGTCACCAGGGCACAGGGCCTGTGAGAGGTGACGCTCAGCCCACTCCCCACCTCTTCCTGCCTTGCCTTCCCCCATACTCACTGGCCTCGAGGGCCTGTTTGGGCATAGCGTGAGAGTGTTGGTGGTCTCCTCACCCAGGCCCTCCTCACCCAGATGGACAACCAGAGGTCCATCTATGTCCTTGCCCCCATTCCCTAGCTTCTGACAGGTCTGGGGAAGAGATCAGTGGGGAGACAGGGGCTGCCTTGAGCAGAGACTTGCAGAGAAGTACCAGGCCAAGCCCTCCTTTGAGGAATAATGGGGGAAAAGCTTTCTGGGTCTTTGCAACTTTGCCCCCAGGCTGGCATCTCACCTGAGTCTCAGGGTGTCCACCAGGCACATCTATCAGCCCAGGGGCCTCAGCCACCTGCTGAGAGCGGCGCAGGAAGACAAGGAAGTCATCTGCGGTGATCAGTGCGGCTCCCACCCCCAGAGGGTCTGCCAGGTAAGCTTGCTTGTCACCCCAGTCGGCAGCCCCCTGCTGTCGCAGCAAGGCAGCTGAGCTGGCCCAGTTGGTGCCCAGGAAGTCTCGGTAGGAAGTAAGGCCCAGGCGCAGGAGCAGCTGCAGCCCCTGTGAGCCAGTGGGCACCAGAGCGGCAGAGTGCAGGCGGAACTTGGGAGCATCGAAGAGCCAGGGCTGGGCCTGTATCCGGGTCTCCCAGATAGCAGCGATGGCCTTGTCCCCTCCTGGCAGTGGACGACGGTCGTAGGCTGGGCTCAGCTCAGCGCGTACTTGCTGCTCTGGCAGCCCACCTGGCGGGCACTGCAGCAGCAGAGACACCTGAGGGTCCATAGTCTAGACAGGGCAGTTCTGGGGAAGGTCACAGCCAGGCCTGTCACCCTGGGGGACCCACAGCCACCCATAGACCTACTGAGGATACCTCCAGCCCTCTCGCATGCCCCTGGGCAGTAAAGTGTCTTCTCATCCAGCAGGAGCCCAAGACTCCTGCTGCCAGACATCCCTGGGACTCCAGGGCACCCCTACCACCCGCAGGTCCTCGTCCAGTCACCCAATGACGTCCATGTCTCCCAAACCCAGGGGTCCTGCCTCCCAGACACCCGGGAACCCCTCCCGGGGTTCAGAACTTCAGACTCCAAGGGTACTCACCGCCAACTCAGCCCGCAGTCTCCGCGCGTTTCCCCGGAGCGAAAGTGCCCGCCCCTCCTTCCCTGGCTTCTCATTGGGTGGTTTCCGGCGCTCTCGAGCCCGCGTAATCAGCCGCTTCGCGGCGGCAGTCGGAGAGCCTGTCCGTCCTCCTAGCTCTAACTCCGTCCGTCTGGGCGTGCCTGGTGTTCCCACCCCGTTAATCTGGGCGCGGGAGCCGCCCCCTCAGGCCCGCCTCGCGGGACAGACCCGCAAGAGCCTGAATATCGGGGGCTCGGCTGTGCTGGACTCCGTGGCTGACAGTGTCACCTTGGGCAGGTTTCCCCTGCCGGGCCTAGTTTTCCTTTCTGCACCAGGGAGTTGGGGGTGGGAGGTGAATTTAGTGAGCTGACTGCCCCCCTCCCAGCTCTCACATCTTGAGGCTTTTTGGCTTTCTGGGCAGCGTGGGGTCGTAGGAGCATTCTTAACAGTCCCCACTTGCCCCTGCTCTCCACAGGTTTTGTCCATGAACTCTGGAGAGAAGAAGCAAGAAGCAGCAGAGGCCAGGGGTCGGAGGCCTCACAGGCCCCGAGAACAGGTGCGTTCCCACTCCGCCCATCCCTGCCCCCCTGGTACGTAAGGGGACTCAGTCTTGCCTCCCTGGGAAATATGCTGGAGGGGTGGGACTGGGGACTGATGGGTCATACTGTTCTCTGGAGGGCACAGGGACTCTTCTCCCTCTGGTCTCCCCCCACAGCAGGCCAAGGTCACTCAGTGTTCAGGGTGGGGAGCAAGGCAGGATCACCACGGGGACCAGGGGCCACCTCTGAACTCTTGCAGGACCGAGATGTACAACTGTCCAAGGCTCTGTCCTATGCCCTGCGTCATGGGGCCCTGAAGCTGGGGCTTCCCATGGGGCCTGGTAAGTGAGGGTCTTAGAGGCTGGGGTCAGGGGGGCCTCCAGCGCAGGGAACAGTGTGAGCCTGTTTGCGACTGTTCTCCATGGCGCCCACCACAGCTCTGTGGGGACGGCATACAAGGTGCATCCCTCCATTTACAGGGAAGACCCAGAGCCTGATACCATGTCTGGGGCAGACTGGGAAAGGAGCCTCTCTCTGGGTCAGGCATGTGGCCCAATAAACACTTATCCCAAAAGTGGCCACCGGGTGGGGGGTGGGGGTGGTGCCAAGGAGGCCTATTGAGTATCTGCTTGAGCCAAGTACTGTGCTCAAAAGGGTCACTTTGTCTTGTGGCCCTCCATGAGGCAGATCCTGTTCCCTTGTCAGTTGAGGAAACTGAGGCACCGGAAAGGGAAGACTTTCTAAAGGTCACACAGATGACCCCTTGTGACCCCCACAGGGGTCCGTTCTGGTTGCCCGTGTCTCCTCCGTTAGCTTTGGCTCAGGCCAGAGCAAAGTCAGCTCCTGAGCACCCTGTCTGCCCTCAGGCGGCTTTGTGCCCCTGGGCGCCCTCCTGCAGCTGCCCCAGTTCCGCAGCTTCTCAGCTGAAGATGTGCAGCGCGTGGTGGACACCAACGCAAAGCAGCGATTCACCCTGCAGCCGGGGGACCCCGGCACTGGCCCTCTCATCCGGGCCAATCAGGGTCACTCCCTGCAGGTGGGGGTTAATGGGACGCGTGGGAGAGCAGGGTGGGGCCCCTGCCTGTGAGGGGGTCTCACTGCCACCCATCCCCTCACCCATACCAGGTCCCTGAGTTGGAGCTGATGCCCCTGGAGACCCCACAGGACCTGCCCCAGAAGCTTGTCCATGGCACATTCTGGAAGCACTGGCCCTCCATCCTGCTCAAGGGCCTGTCCTGCCGGGGAAGGACGCACATCCACCTGGCCACGGGACTGCCTGGGGACCCTGGTGTCATCAGTGGTCAGTTCCCGCCCCCCAGTGACTCCCACCCACTCTCTCCCCCCAGGTCCCCCTTCAAAGCCCCTCTACACCCTGTATCCAGCAGCAGCCCCTGCTGCCCACTGAGCCCAGGGCCCCAGCCACCCCAGGCCCCAGCTCCAGCTGTCTCTGCAGGCATGCGGTCAAACTGCGAAGTGGCCGTGTTCATCAATGGGCCCCTGGCCCTGGCAGGTGAGTCCAGACGCAGCAGGGACCGCCCTGAGCCTTCAGAGAGGGCCTGAGTCACATCTCTGGCTCTGTCTGCAGATGGAGTCCCCTTCTTCCGCTCTGCCAATGGGGTGATCCTGACGCCAGGGAATGCTGATGGCTTCCTGCTTCCCAAGTACTTCAAGGAGGCTCTGCAGCTACGCCCGACCCGTGAGAACCTCCCCTCCACCCCTGTTCTTTGTGCCTGAAGCTTGTGCCCTTCGCCTCTCTCCCGCTGCCAACCCCCACCCGACTTAGAGGTCTCCCTTCCTCTAACCAGCCTGTCTCCATCTCAGGAAAGCCCCTCTCCCTGGCTGGTAATGAAGACACGGAATGTCAGAGAGGTCCCAAGCATAGCTCCAGGGGAAGAAGGATGATCCAACAATAAAATATTTATTTTAAAAAAAGAAATGTAAAAAGATAACAAAAAAGAAACTCTAGCTTGAAACCGTGAATTATCATCCTGTAGCTACAGCCGGTGTTCCTTGTGTGCTCAGGGACGACAACTGGGTCGGGGTGTTGGTCTCGGCCACTCAGATAAGGGAGGGGCAGTGTTGTAGCGCTCAGGGCCCACCCACTCTCCCCGTCCTGGGGGATGGCGGAGTCTGGCCCAGCCAGGTCCCTGGTCTGCACAAGCCAGTGACAGTTGGTGAAAGCTCCCAGCTCAGTGCATGTCTGGAGAGGGTGTGGGCAGTGAGTCCCAGTGTGTGTGGGCTTAGGTGTGGCCATGGCAGGTGGTGAGCTGGACAGGGGCGGTAAGACAGGCCTCAGAAGGCCTCGTGGCCTCCTGTGAGCTGCAGGAAGAGGTCCTCATCCAGCTCCTCCCCTCGGGCGCGCTCTCTTGTTGACAGGAAAATGTAGCCCCCTATGTACTCGTGTACAATGCGGCAGCTGGCAGACACACAGCTGAAAGCCACGTTGATATGTTCATCAAACTCGATGGCTACCTGCAGGGTGGGCAGTTAGAGGGGGATGGTGGAGGTGGGAAGAGGGAGCAGCCCCTGCCCTGCCCTGGCTGGGTCTGGCCCACCCCCCTCTCCCTCCCCTCACCCCCGCTCTGGCCCACCTGCCGGATGTCCCAGTTGACATTCCACTGGCGCATGTTGCTGAAGCGCCAGGTCTTGACCACGTCGCCCACAGCCAGGTCAATGCGGATCAGTCGGTTGTTGGCGATGCCCAGGATCTCATCTTTCCTGCTGCCCTTGAACCTGGTCCCCAGGAGGACAGAGTGTGAGCAAGGCCCCACCCCACGTGGCCCCAGCGCCTGCTCACACAGCCTGGTGCGGCGCGCAGGCAGGCTGTGCAAGTAAGTCACTTAGGTTCTCTGGGCCTCGAGTTCCTCATCTGGAAAATGGGAGTTAATGGATATAATCATTATGGTACCATTTGGCCACATCAGGCAAATAGTTCATGCCTTTAAATAATTCTTGTATCATTATCTTTGTTGGCTTGGAAAACAGGTAGAGGCTCGCTCCCAGTCACAGCAGCCAACGTCGGCCCTGTCCTACAGACCGGTTGGCCAAGGCCCGAAGAGGGAACGGTCCGTGGCAGGGCTGGGACGGAGCTGGGTCCCCTGTTCCCCTGGCCTGATCTCTCTCTATCTGTGTTTGCTGTGGGTGCAGGGTGGGGTGGTGCACTGGGTGTCCTCAGTAAGGTCCGCCCCCAGAGAACAAGAAGGGAGGCTGTGGGGTGCCGCCCACAGGCAGCCTGTGGGGGCAGACAGGGCCGGGCGGGGCTCTTACCTGACCAGGACATAGGAGATGCCAAAGTCAGGCAGGGACTGCCAGGCCTGGATGAAGCGCAGCTGGGCCTCGGACAGCGAGAGCTGGGCCACGTTCTGGTGAGCTTCCAGGATCCGTGGGGTGAGCTGTGGGACCACACTGGTGAGGGGCTTCCGAAGTCCTTGAGACCCCCTGCCTGTCCCCGTCAGGGAGACAGGATGCTGCGCCCGGGGCAGGGGCAGTGCCCACGGTGGGGCTGCCCGGTGCCCCCTCACCACTCATCGACTGTGAGAGGAGCTAGGCCCTCAGGGGGGCATGGGCAGCTGTGCCGTGACCCCCTCTCCTCAGACGGGGAGAGTGGGCCAGCGCACTCAGTCTCAGGGACACGGGTGGGAGAAGGGATGAGGGAGCACGCGGCTTTTCAGAGGAAGGCCCCCTGGAGACCGAGGGGCCAAGATGGCCAGGGAAACACTGTGATCATTCCCACCACCCACCCCCTCTGGCACCTGTTTGGCCTTGAACTTTCGCTGGAAGCGGGGCGCAACAAGGCCGTAGGGGTTAAGGCCCTCGGGGGAGGCATCAGGTCCCTGGGGTTGGTGGCCCGAGCTGCCGGTGCCTGTCCGCTGCAGGCTGAGGAAGGCCAGGATGGCCTGCACCTCGCTGGCGTAGCTGCTGTCCGCCATGGTGCGGCCCTTGGAGGCCAGCCGGCAGCCGGCCATCCAGTGTGCGTACTGCTGCTCCTGGGGCCGAAGGAGGGCGAGAGGGCAGTGAGGGGCCAGGCGGACTCTGGTTCAGCCCACTGCCCCGCAACCCCCACCCCGCCCTAGGCCGCCCTGGCCTGGCGTAGCGCTCACATCCTGGCAGCGCAGATAGATCTCGCTCATGCCTTCAGGGGAGGGCACCAGGAGTTTGATGCAGAATTTCTGTCCTGAGACGTTGACATCAGGGACCACCTCACAGCCTGGAGGGAGAAGAAGGGGTGGGCTGGAGAAGGGGGGCCGTGCCTGCGAGGCCCCCACCCCTGGGAAAGGCCAGCCCTGCACAGCTGCCTGCCTGAGACCAGGGCCCCTTCCCCGGCACTCAGGAGGAAGCGGGCGCCCCACAGCGTTGCCGTGTCCCTGTCCTGGCCAGGCCACGCTCGCTCACCCTTGAGGTTGAGTTGCTGAACGGGGTCCCCCGGGGCTTCTTCCTGGCTCTTATAGTAGGACAGCGTGGTATCCTTGAACACCACCCAGTGCTGGCGGTAGCCCTTCAGGGTCAGCTTTCGGGGCCTGAGGGTGAGATGGGAGACAGTGACAGGCCACCTTCCTCCCTCCTCTTGTCACCTTCCACTGCGCCCCTGCAGCAGGGCTGCCAGCTCCACACCCGAACTCACCGGAAGATCCGGAGGTGGTCCTTCAGTTCAGGGATGGTGGTGAGGCTGTCCTGGGGAGCAGAGGAGTCAGAGGGGGCCTGGTTCCTGGGCTTGACCCTGTCCCCGACTCCAATCCCTGACCGGAGCCCCTTCTCACCAGCACATCTGTGCGCGTGGACCCCTCTAGCTTCACCTCCAGGTTGTTGAGGGCTGCGTCGAGGTCGTCCAGCCCTGGGTCTGGGCCCGCTGGCTCACTCACCTCCCCGCTCTGGGACAGCTTGTTGATGTGGTACTGGGTGGGGCACACAGCCAGGGAGGGCTCAGCGGGCAGCCTCTGCTCCCAACTGTGCCCTGAGCGGGGCTCCCCCAGAGACAGGCCCCTCCCTGGAAGACTCCTCCTGCCCCCGGACTGTCCTGCACCCTGCCACCCTGGGCCCCCAGGCCTGCCTGGCACCTGCAGGGCTGCAAACACCATCATCTCCTCCTCAGTGCAGTCGATCTCCTCCAGCAGCAGGTCCCACCGGGCCTGCTCGTACAGCTGCGTCAGCCGCACCGGGTCTGTCTGGAGCGGTGGGGGGTGGGGCTGGGTTGGTCAGGTGTCTAGTACTCTGCGCACCCCGCACGCCTGGCCCTGGGAGCCTTGAGCCTCGGCCCTCGTCCTGCCCCCCTGTGCTGTGACGAGCTTCGAGCTTGTTCATGGGCCCCACGTGGTCCTCAGAGCCTACCTGCCCCATCTGCCCAGGGAAGGGGCACCTTTTTCCCTCAGCTCTGCGACTGAGAAAGGAACTGGGTTGCAGGGAGGGATTCTGCATGAGGAAGCCTTCGGGAAGCCTTCCCTGAGGAGGTGACGTGCTGTGCTGAGATGTGAAGAACAATGGGCCACTAAAGGGAAGACTGGTTGGAAGGACATTCCAGAGAGAAGGAACGGGGTGCACAGCTCAGAAGGGGGTCCCGGTTACCCATGGAAAAAACAAGCCCAGGCTCCCTCTGCAACCCACCAAAAATGACGAAGGAGAGAGAGGCCTAGAGCAGGTGAGAGACAACATTTTGGAAGGTGAGAAGCAAAATGGGAATGGGAACTGGGTCGCTGGGATCTCACGTCCTTCCTTCCTGTTTTGTGGCAAAAGCACTAATGAGTTCTGAAAATAAGCAAAGAGCAAAAAGAACAGAGATCTGGACAAAGGCATCCAGTTCACATGGAGGGTCCAGGACAGGCTCTGGACTCTAATCTCCTGCTGGGAGGCAAGGGTGGGCTGAAAGGAGGACTGAGAAAGAGTATAAAAGGAGCAGGTCCCTCCCCACTCCCTGCAGCCAAGTGACAGCCAGTAGGCACCTGGCAGAGGCCAGAGATTTACTCTCCGAGATGCTGAGCCAGAGGTGCCCCCGCATTTGGTACTTCAGGCACAGCTGGCAGCGGTGGTGCAAGGTGCTGAGAGCAGATAAATTAAGGGAAGGCTGGCATTCTGGGAGGTGAGACACCCCAGCCCTTCCCCTTGTCTCCTAGGACCTTGGCAGTGAGCCTTCTGTGCCCAGTTGGGAGATTAGAAGGTTAGCTGCTAAGAAACTGATGAGCTAAAGAGAACCCCCCCCCAAGAGCGGCATTCCTGCCCAAGTATCCCCAGGAGGCCCCCCAAATGCCAAGCCCTATTCATGCACCCAGGGTTTCCAACTGGCTGATAAGAGCCTTCCTTGTAAATATGAAAGGACTGGCAAGGATCCCCCACCTTTATTGAAAGCTGCTAGCATGAGCTCTACAGACAAAGACAAACAGGAGAAAAAGAGCTTGGAACCCTGGCTGATGTGGCTCAGCGGATTGAGTGCTGGCCTGCGAACCAAAGGGTCTCTGGTTCAGTTCCCAGTCAGGGCATGAGCCTGGGTTGCCGGCCAGGTCCCTGATGGGGGACGCGTGATAGGCAACCGCACATTGATGTTTCGCTCCCTCTCTCACTCCCCTCCTCTCTCTCTAAAACAAGTAAATTTAAAAAAAAATTTTTAAAGAGCTTGGAGAAAATAAAGAAAATGTAGGGAGCAGAAGAAAACTTCCAACACGAGTCAAAATCCTTCCAGAGATGAAAATACTGTACTCATAAAGCAAGAACAGGATCCTATTTTAAAAAGGAACATAATTAGAAAGTTCTAGTAATTAAGACTGTGTGGCATTGGCAATGAGAAACAAGTTGACCAATGGTACCAAGAGAGCCAGAGACCCAAACATGTACATTCACCTAACTTAGGACAAAGGTGATCCCACAGTCACTAGGGAAAGAATGCTCTTTTGAGTAAATGACACTGGGTCAATTGGATACCTGAGTCAAAAAAACTATCTGCACCCCTGCCTGACACCACATACAAAAAGCAAT